GGTATTTCAATTATTTTCTGGATGCAAAGAAAATAATCCAAAATTATTTTGAGATTTTTGTTGTTGTTGTTGCTGGTCTCATGTGTTGTTGGGTATCTGCCTAGGTCTTTGACATGAGTCACTAGGCACTTCATGTGACTGCTTAGCTTATGAATGAGAACACCCCCACCCAGTCCCCAGTCCACTGACAAAAGGTGGCCAAACAGCTGTTGCCTGGAAACCAAAACTGGTTACCATATTGCTATGCTGTGCTGCCATGAATCTCCCCCTACTTTTCCTTGTCGCTCAGCATTTGAACGTTTCATTCAGTGCGCGATGGTCACTCTTTCTTTAGTTTTTGCTGTTTCAAAACAGAAGAGTTGATGTTATTTCTAAGTACTTTCAACAGGTTGCCGAAGCACGTAACAAACAAAAACGATGGCCGGAGGTAAGTATGAAAAACATGACTGAATTCAAAGTGACAGTGACGGCTGCATCAAATGATTAAAGGAGTAAGAGCAGCACTCTCGGTACCCATAACAGTACAGTATTACATGATGTTCCCAACTTTGGCCCATCACACCCACTGTGGAAAATGGTGTGACTTTTAAGCAGAGCGCACAGATGCTCACAAAAAACGAAGAAGGATCTGTTTCTGCTGTAAACACAAACGCATATAAGGTCCTGAAATGAGATGATAAATCTACAATCCCCACACTGCAAACCCCAAGAAACTAGCAGAACTACTAAAATAAGGCAGTTGATTGCCTTCATGTGCATAAGCTCATAATCGTCCAAGTCAAACAACAAGAAATATAATGTTTGGATTTACTGTATGTAAATGCTAACTAAAGTTAAATGAAATTGCTTTTAATGGCTGGATGGATGGATCACGTGGTTTTAGTCTTAGTGTTGCTTACTGAAATCCCATTACTTCTGCCAAGAACTGTACCTTCTCAAAATAAATATTACAGTTACTGATAAAAAAAATGGAATGCTGTGTGAATGTAAATAAAAACATAACCTCATAAACGTATATTTTACTCACAACAGAACATAGAAAACAAATCAAACGTTTGAAGTGATAAAATTAAACATTTCAGGAAAAAGATTGATAAAAATGTTGGGACAGGAGCAACAAAATGTTAGCAAAAGTAAGTGTAAGGTTCTGAAAAGAAACTTGCAGGAGGAACTAATCAAACCTGACTGGGTATAAAAAGAGCATCTTAGACAGGCAGAGCTTCTCAGAAGTAAAGATGGCTAGAGGTTCACAGATCTACAAAAGCAGCCTCTTTCTTCAAAATGTGGAACAATTTCTAAATAATGTAATAATCTACAATACATAATATCATCAAAAATATCCAGAGAATTAATATTAATCAATACTGGATGCTTGTTGTTGTCAGGTGGCACTGCATTAAAAACAGGCATGAGTCTGCCATGGAAACGACTGCATGTGCTTGGGAACACTTTTAGATATCACTGTTTGTGAAGGCAGACTACAAATGCAGACTTCACCTCTGTCGTGTGCACACGATCCAGGAATAATGCCCTTCTTCTCAGGATGAAAGGTTATTTAAAATGAACTGAAGTAAAGTGGAAAATTGTTCTGTGGTCAGATGAATAAAAATGTCAAATTCTTTTTGGGAAACACGGACACCATGTCCCCAGATTAAAGTGGAAAGGGATCATCCAGCTTGTTATCAGCACTCTCTGATCGTACATTAGTGCTTATGGACTTGGCAGCTTGCGCATCTGGAAAGGCACCATCAGTGCTGAAAGGTATATTCAGGGTTTTTATACAGATTACGTTTTTGTTTTGTTTTCACAGAGGAGGCCTTGCATGCTTCGGCAAGGCAATAATAAACTGTATACTACATCTATTATGACACTGTAGCTTCATAAAAGACGAGTCTGGATGCTGAACTGGCCTTTCGTCGAGCTTTTTAGAATTTGCTTTCTATAGGCTCAGGTAAGGAGAGCGCGCAAGAACCTGCAGGAGGCTCGATGAGAGAGAGACGGAGACGTGCAAAGTCTCTCTCTCTCTCTCTCTCTCTCCCCGCCCGTGACGTTACTCCGTTTTAAAGCCACCTTCGATCGTCCCCTCCGGTCCTCCTCCTCCGTCTCGCATTCACCTTCCTCACCGAGCTCAACATCAGCCAATGCTTCACGGCACTCCTACCCTGCGTGTCTATCCCATGCGTGGGAAGCACAGCAAAAACGAGGGCTTCACTTGAGAGAGTGAAAAGAAGCGATCGACGGAAAAGCGGGAATCGTTTCATCAGTTTTCATTGCTGAGTTTTTCGGAGGAAGCGGCTCCTGATATTAGCGAGAATCTCTGTTTTTTTTTTATCACGGTGGTAGGTATTCTTAACTTTTCAGGAAAAAAAAAATCGTAGAATCGAAAGAAAAACAGGTTTATAGACTGTTTATTTGATAAGACTGATTTTATAAATGGCGTTTGTCTCTTTAGAGTTGTATGTGGTAAGAGCTGCTGTGATTTCAGGACCACGGAGAGCTCTCAGGGCACCTTTAGTGGAACTTTCAAAAGGAAAATCTGCCGACAGCTATTTTCTATTCATTTATAAATTAATATTACACTACTACTTACTTTTAACAGATCTCTGAATACTGGACATTGGATCATTCAAAGTTATTACTGATTCTATATATGAGTTTTTATGTCTATATTATGCATTTGATATGTGAAAACAAATAGAAATTGTATGCTAGAAGACAGCAAGAATTGTTCTTGTTTCCCTTAGAGAAGGTTTAAGCTTTGTAAGTAATTTTTGTAAGTAATTTTTCAAAGTTACTTGAAAACTTGCACCTTGCTGTCTCATAACAAGACTTGTCCTTTGGTCTCCTCATATAATTCAAGCTAAAAGGCACATTCACCTTGAAAAAGACCCTTTTTAATTAACAAAGCAATCTTCTTGTTCTCCTGCTGCCAACAGGACAGAGAGACAGCATCGTGGAGCTATGAATGAGTCGCTGGTGGTGAACGACTCTTCTGCGACTCCTGCATCAGGAGAAGCTCTCCCGTGGATAGAGGCTGAGTCTTTGGACCAGAACGGCAGCCTGGAATTCTCCACCGCCGCATTAGATTTCCCTATCAACCCATGGGACATCATGCTCTGTATGTCAGGCACCGTGATCGCCTGTGAGAACGCCATAGTGGTAGCAATCATCTTCTACACGCCCACGCTGAGGACTCCCATGTTTGTGCTGATCGGGAGCCTGGCCACAGCCGACCTGCTGGCCGGCATGGGATTAATCCTGAACTTTGTGTTTCAGTATGTGATCTCCTCTGAGACTATCAGCCTTATCACTGTAGGTTTTTTAGTGGCCTCCTTCACCGCATCCATCAGCAGCCTCTTAGCTATTACGGTAGACCGCTACTTCTCCCTCTACAATGCCCTGACATACTTCTCAGAGAAGACACTGCAGTATGTTCACTTGATGTTAGTGGGCACCTGGGGGGTGTCTCTGTTCCTGGGCTTGCTGCCGGTGCTCGGCTGGAACTGCCTGGGCGAGCCAGCCTCCTGCAGCATTGTCCGCCCTCTGACCCGGAGCAACGTCATGCTCTTGGCCACCTCCTTCTTTGCCATCTTTGTGCTTATGCTGACCCTTTACTTCAAGATCTGCAAGATCGTGTGCCACCACGCCCACCAGATCGCCCTCCAACAGCACTTTTTTGCCACTTCGCATTATGTTGCCACCAAGAAAGGGGTGTCCACTTTGGCCATCATCTTGGGGACTTTTGGTGCCAGCTGGCTTCCCTTTGCCATCTACTGTCTCGTGGGTGAGAGGGAGTATCCGTCAGTGTACACCTATGCTACGCTGCTGCCGGCCACCTACAACTCCATGATCAACCCCATCATCTACGCCTACAGAAACGCCGAGATCCAGCGCTCCATCTACATGCTTCTCTGTGGCTGCTTTCAAGCCAACGGAGCTTATCGGTCCAGGTCACCAAGTGAGGTCTAAAAAAGGTGCTACAGCTTGCTGCGTGTGTGTATCTGTGTGTGTGTGTGGGAGAGAGAGAAAGAGAAAGAGAGAGAGCATGCATGTGTGTGCGTTAATGGCCAAGCAAAAAGACAAACCCAGTAATCATCGACAATCTGCTTACAGTTGACAGTGAATGCTTTAAAAAACAAAAAACAAAGCAGGCGTGATGTTCGAAATGTGTCTCTCATGCATACTGTGTCTGCACTTTATTAGCCTATGTCTCAACACAAGTTAGGGGGAGAGTTTGGAAATGCTGTGAACAAGAAACTTTTGTTTTTTTGTTTTTTGTTTTGTTTTTTAAAAAAAGACAAAGCAAACCTGTGAATGTACTTAAGTGGAAAAAAATAGGAATGGAAATCTTGCACTTTATTCAATGTTTTTTTCAAATGCCAAAGCAGTATTGTATAGCCCTTAATGTGTTTAAGCATTTGAACTTGTGAGTAACCTTGTGCCATTTTTCTATTTTGTATCGTACTGTCTTTGATGTCCATTTTGTACAAGAGGAATAAAGGGATAAAATCAAGTGGTGGCTCAAGTATGTGATCCATATTGCTGCACTTTCTGTGTGTGTGTGTGTGTGTGTGTGTGTGTGTGTGTATTACACACAATGTTTTCTTTTCTTTTAGTTTTTTACATCCTAGTACCATCCAAGTACCTTGTTCTAGTTCAAACCTAGACACATATGATTGCTTGCTCAGTTTTTGCGTGTCATATATGTGTGCTTGTGAGTGGTTATAAGAAAAACCTAGAGGTACCACAAACGTGTGAAAGCATGAGCCACGTGATCTTTGCTACTTAGCAGGTGAGACATAAGGCTGCGGAAGTCAAATTAGCATTTCTTTCACGTAATTTACTAACCCCCACGTAACATTCGCAGCCCCTGCTGGCCTTGGTATGCGTTCGCATTGAAAATATATGATGCACTCTGTCTGGGTAGCGCAGGAAATGAGAAAGGTTGTCTGGACCTTATCTTGCTTCATCCCATCGACATCTCTACTTATGATTCAAGAGTAGAGCAGCTGAATGCACGTGTACGGGTGTGTGACAAAGTGAGAAGAATGATCATAATGGGTCTGTGTCCCCTGTTAAACACAAAGTAAACCCGGCAGCCTGCGTAGCGACTGATGCAGCCGTTTATCTGCCAGCCTGTCCGTGGCTTTCAGAGAGCCTTGCAGGAATGAAGATGACTTTGTAGACCAGGAGACTTAAGCTTTTCTCCTCTCCTTCAATAACTTCTTCTTCCACATCCTGCTTTTACACAATACTTCACATTCCTTACTTTTTCATACTTGAAAATACAGAATATACAGCATGCAATACCCAGCTTTAACCTAGGTGAAAGCTACTTTGATGACTGCATCATTAGTTCTTTAAAATGAAATTACTGAGCATTGAAACACTATTTAATTACTGAGAACAAACCTACATGCACAGTTAAATCTTTAATAAATTCAAAAATACAAGCTCTAATTAATGCCGACCAGCATGCCAGTAAAATGAAATGATTGGAAGCTCTAGAAGTGACTCGATAATTGTAAGCGCTGTATCTTTGCAACTAACTTGTACCTGCAGAAGATGCTTGAAATCTCAAAAGCTTCATGTCAGGCTGAGCCTCTCCTGTCGAGAGACCTCGGACAACTTTATCACATCAGTGGCACTGAGGTGCAATCTAATCTGTGCAGTCAGGCACGGAGCCTTTCTTAGTAGGGGTTTGTCCTCAACACATGTCATCACAGGTGAACATTACTCTGTGTGCCCCTCAAGCCTGCTCCTCTGGAAACTGCAGAATCTAATGGTAGTGCCTTTTCCTAAGACATACTTTATATACACAACTCACTGTGAGTAATGAGTAATGCATTTATAGAAGCCATTTATTGCTTTTGCTGATTTTCTCCAAGAAGTCCACAGACAGCCCACTAAATAAAGTCACTGTTCCCACCGCAGCTAAATTCTACAGTTTCGTGATGAAACACTTAAACACCCACATTGCCGATAAATCATTGCAGCATCAGCTCAGTTTAATTATTCGGTTCTGCAGTAGTCGTGGTAACCAGCATGACCGAGAAGGCCACTGAGCAGGTGGGCCTATTCAGGTCACACTTTGGGAAGCGCTTCTCGTACCTCATTGAAACTAAAAACCAGTCATTCGGCAGCTCGTGCAGCTAGTTTTAAACCATCTTGGCACTCGAAAACTGCAGAAAAAACCAAAATGTGTTGAGGATATTGCGAGCTCAGAGTCTGCCATAGGGTGAGAGGCAGGGTACGCCCTGGACAGGTCACTATTGTCTCACAGGGCCAGTGTTGGGGAGTAACGGAATACATGTACCGCCGTTACGTATTTAAAATACAAAATATGAGTAACCGTATTCCGTTACAGGTACCGTTTAAAAAGGTGGTATTTAGAATACAGTTACTTTGTTGAAATAAATGGATTACACGGCGGTACTTTCCTGTTTCATATTGTCGCGGGTCAGGACTGTTTGGGTTTTGTTTGACAGCTACGTTCTGTTGTTCCAGGTGGCAGCGTTGCGGTTGCCATGGTTACAGGGCGACGCTCTAGTGTTTCCTGGGTGAGAGAGCGCCTGTTGTTGTTGTGCTAAGCTAATAGGCGGAATGCTACAGGCATAGCTCTAAAGAATGTAGCATCATAGGCAGTGTAGTCCGTGCTGCAGGGAGAATGGACCGCCATACCCGTTATGTGTCTGTGAGCGCGAAGTGGGAGAAAAAGGAGAGTCGAAAAGTACGAGCAGTCATCGAGCAAAAACGGGAGCTGGAAGCATGTAAATATAATAATAACCACTGCAGCCAAGAAGAGTGCCTGACGAGCCCAGTTGTAAGTAAGCTATTAAGACTCGACTGTACACCGTGTTCGTGTTTTCCTCCGAAACAATAAGTTCAGTTGGAGTAGCCTCTCTGTCTCTCACAAGCAAAGTTGACCCAGACAACAAAGTAAAGCTATTTTTCGGCTATGAGCCCAACACGGAACCGTATTAGTCAGAGGTCCCTTTACTACGGTTCGGAGCCGCGGACCTTCAGTAATAGTAATAAATCACACAGAAATAGTACATTCACGTAGTTGTAAAATGCATGATAATATGTTAAGTAATCCAAAGTATTCAGAATATGTTACTCTCATTGAGTAACGTAACGGAATACGTTACAGAATACATTTTAGGGCATGTATTCTGTATTCTGTAATGGAATACATTTTAAAAGTAACCTTCCCAACACTGCACAGGGCTAATACAAACAACCATTCACACCTATTGGTACTTTAACTGCATGTCTTTGGACTGTGGGAGGAAGCCAGATTACCCAGAGAGAACATGCAAACTCCAGATGGTGGATCTGAACCCAGGAACTTCTTGTTGTGAGGCAAAGAGTGATAACCACTGCCCACCTTTGCAACAGGAAGTCATTAATTCAGTTCATTTTTTTCCAGACAGAATTTGTTTGACTTTTTTTTTTGTTCTCATTGTTGTGTTTTTAAATGTCTGCACCAGATTCGAGATGTCAGAACATATTTTAGTCGTCAAATTATGCGTGAACTTTGAATTTAGTTGCATATTTTAGACTACACTGGCAAAGGTCGGGAGTAGAAACATTCTCTGTACTGTTCTTTCATTTTTAATTAGTTTTTTTAAGCAAATAACACACAATTGTTTTTCTCGTCTAGTTTTAATTTCAGCCAAGTGAAAAGTGTTTTTTTTTCACTCCCACTTTTATTCGTCAATTTAGTTTCAGTTGATGACAACCTTAACAGTTTCTGACAGATCTGTGATCATCATGAGCTTTGGATTTCTCCCAAAGGACATGATAGTATCCGAGGAAATTCCAACTAAATCCATCTTCGTTTTTTCTTGTTTTTAGGTTTCTAGCCTTCCCTCCATCTTTTCTGCTCTTGATTCGCTGATAGCAGTCTGATTGGTGCATACGCAGCCTATTCTTAATACTTGTTTAAGAGAAAATAACAGCTCTGCGTGGAACAAGTAGTTGCTTTTATAGAGTATTTTCTTGCAAGCTAGATTTCGACACAGACTTAGACTTGCTTGCCATTTCTGCTGGCATTCACAAGTACTGTATGTGTGCTACTGTTCCTGCCTCTTATTTTGTCCCAATAATCGCTCTTACACAACAACACCACTAAGGTCAGTGTGTTTGCTCCTCGTGAAAGCTATCAACTTTATCAGTCACGACACCGAAAGCAGTGGAGCCTTCAGTCAGTTTAGGGCTGATCACAAAGTGGGGTAAAGGTGAAGGATGCTGAGGGCCGCTAATGCGCTGCATGAAGAAGACTGGCCGCTTTGAGAGCAGGAGATGTTTGTTCAACTTGTTTTTTTCTCTGCCTTAACAGATGTTGCTTTCGGTCACTCACCAAATCAGGCAACCACCTGTTTGTTCGCAGGGCTTAGAAAGTAAACCTGTGGCAACAGTCGAAAAGTGCTCATGTACTTTTTAGGCCTTCGATTTCTAAAATGTTACATTTCTAAGATCAAGCTTGCAGGCTACATTAAATCTCTTGGAAAGAGATTCAGATTTCTCCACTGTTTCTTCTCTTTCTTCTTTCTTTTTTTGGGGGGGTTTTCATTTTTGTAAAAACCGTGACCGAAGTGATTCCAGTGTGTTTTGGACGGGTAGTTTGCATTAGTTGTTATATAGATTTATTCTTCCTGTCATGGTGCAAAGAATATGTGTTTATCAAGTTATTTTCTTAAATGTAATTTTTAATGTTCCACTTGCAACAACTTACTGGTATCAATCACATTTAACACGGCGCATTCAGATCACTCCTTCAAACCTGTGGATAAACTGGTGGATTTCACTTTCTTGTGTTTATTTTAGCCAAAGAAATCATTCTGTCATCATGCACTGTACTTGTCTTCTGTCAAATTTGTTTTTAAATGCAATGGATTTTGTGTCTTCTAAAGCTTTTGATGTCTTTCATAGGTTTATGTGACTAATGATGACATGCTGCGCTTACACTGACATCTCTTTGAGCTTCATGTTTAAAATTACATTAAAAAGCATACAAATTCAACACAATTAACTACATATATTATGTCTGCTTCATTTGGAGTGATTGAAGAAATGGATAACTCTCACTGCCATGAAACTGCTGCTCAGTCATTTCTCCAATTGATTTTGATCTGCTGAACATAGGTGACGTATGAAAAGGTCTGTTACCCCTAAACAGTTAATGCAAAGTTGCTGTAAAATGTACTGAATTTAACTTCTGAACTTCAATCACATAAAAACTGTTAGATTTAAAATACACTGTGTTGGTGTGTTTATGGA